CTATTGGGGGCTGGTGTCCAGTTTATCGGATCATACACCTTTGGGATGGAGTCAAACGTCCAAGCGGCCCAGTACACCTCGATACCCAGTTGAGCCGGTGACCACTACCACATCCGGAAAGGTATGTGCGGTTCGTACGCCTCTTCTTGGTTGGTTTAGAATAAGGGTTTTTGGCCAACTGCCCTAGGTGAATTACCAAGTGGTTCACCAACCTGCTTATGGCCCCGGACGTCGGCTTTTTGTCCTCTCACTTCGATGGGAAAACACCTCCGTTACGAGAACGCAGCGAGTAAGACTTCCTCAGCAGAGGTTATTTTAGACGCTTGGTCTTATGGGGGCATTTCGCGAGGTTCAGGGGAAGGGTGACCTGCCGCAACCCTAGACCCACACGTACCATACTGAGGCTTTTGGAGACAGTAGGATGGAGATAGTTGTCTCAGGCTATTCTGGCATAACAAGATGAAACTTTTCCAATGTACTTGGTGGTGTAGCTCGCTTTCGACTTTCTGCTTCGGGCCTTCGGTGAAAGCCTTCCAGTGCCAACGTTTGTGCGGTAATTCAAGACATGTGCCATTCTCCTTTCTGACCATTCAGAATATTTTGCAATACCCGCTAATGAAACCCTGTTGCTTCCGATCAATTGCTGCGAGTGTAAGCATGTGTCCGCTGCACTTATCACTTATCTTGCACTGATAGGTTCACACACAAACCTTTCCCATTGAGCATTCATGACCCACGTACTTGTGTGTGGCTGCCTTACGTATTATAAAGTGTACAATTGAAGTTGCTTTTGATCTCACTCAGTACTTGTCTGCATGCGCTCTACCATTATTGATTTGTAGTTTATTAGCTGACTTGTATGTAACAAGACATTCCTTAACCAGGATATAACCCACGATATTCTGATACTAACCCTAAAGTAACTGATTTACTGTCTCGCACCACGACGTCCGGCTATCTGAATGGTCGAGTGTATGCTGCCACAGATCGACCAGTGCTACCGTACGGCGCAGAACCTTGCTTTATTTTCAGTTTTTAAAACCATTAACCATACTGTTTCGTGCGTCCTTTTTGATCGTTGTCTTCTGGTTGTCCATTTGGATAAAAATCAAGATTGGAATGTCGACAGCTGAGTCAAAGAGAAGATGGAGGATTCATATAGACTGAGCTTGCAAGAATAATGGGTGGTTGCACGAGTGCCATTGCTTGCGACACAGCCATATCACTATCTCTAAACACAGGTTCCCCTGATCTCGGGGTCCCCATCCAGAAAGCCTTACAGTACTTGTGACCCAGTTTCCTTATTTGGGTTTGCATATCCTCATGCCAGGTCTTAGTTTGACCATCCTTGATCTTCTTCCATCCGCTGTCTGCTTCAGTAAACATCGCGCGCCGTGACAACCTATTAGCGTAACACATGCCCTAACCAAAGTAGTTTATTTTCATACATGCCTGAGTAGAATTGTTGCCAAACAAATCATGGTACAATAATCTTGATAAAAAGAAATCTATCCATGATTTGCGTGTGGGCCGAATACTTCCAGCGTTGCTCGTCCGGTTGCCCCACCAGACTCGTGCAATGCTGTGGCGGTGTTCGGATATTGACATTCAATTTTTATCCTGGATAATTTTCCGAAGCATAGAGCAAGGGTGGCCTTACTACTGCAGCAAATGCCCGATCCTTCACAGACAGTCGGATTTCGCGACAGCGCCACAAATGTCTCAATTTGGCAAATGTCAACCGGACCTTTTATCTGTGTGCTGACACTGTGATGCGTCCGCCAGGTGGTTCAAATTACAAAATATCCACTTCCTCTGCTACTTCCCTAGTCATGCATATACTCATTATTCTTGTAACTTCAGTCTATGAAAATGTGCTGTCTTCCGCCTAAATCTGTTCTCAACATTCTAATCATCATTCTGCTATTTTATCCAAATGGGCAACCAAAACCGGCGCACGAAAGTGCATGGTTAATGGTTGTAAGAACTGAGCTGAAGTGAACTTCCCTAGTCAGGATAAGGCTGAGGACTGGACAAACCTAATCCTGTAGCAACGTTCTACACATGGCTTTCTCCAATCTGTAGTGACCACTGCAAATAAAGCGCGTGGCGGCAGGCGACAATCAGATTTACGCAAAACGTGTCCTAACCACCGGAGCCTATTAAGCTAAAATCGATGCGATAGTGAGGTCGTGTTCGATGCATTCCCAAACAACGGACGAATTACTTCTGAGTCACTAACCCGATCACTCAATCCCACTTGAGCCAGTATTTACAAGCATGGATTGTTTAAAACCACTAGGTCTCAACCGTAAAGCAGAACTGATCGTACACTAGCGCTTTATACGCAACTTTTCAACTTTAGTGAAACGTCACGTCTTCACCACAGGTGTTTAACTCCTGCGTACGCTGCTCAAGCCTTGAAAATGAGTGCGCTTATCTCGTTTGATGCGCTACAGTCGTTGGTCATGCAGTTACCCCAATACGTGAAGCAGTCAACTTGAGCTAATTCCTCACCATCTCGTTTCAGAACGGCACTTGGCTACACCCAGTCTTGCAGCATCACTGTGCACTTTGAAGACGCGAAGGGCATGTTAAAAGGAGTAACAACTTGCTAGTCTATCAAGTGTCTCTTGCGTATCCTCCATGTATTCGAACAGGCAAACGATATCTTCAGCGTACTCTAGATCGCACAGCTTTTCTCCTGCTGCTTACTCAATGTCGACATTTTGGAGACCACTTAGTGCGTTTTCTAGTATTTCGTCTATGACGAAATTGAGCAGGAATGGTGAAATAGGCATCCTTGACGAACGCCACTTCTGGTTTTGAACAACCTACTGATCTCACCGTAGACCCTCGCTAACAGAAGTACGCGAGTAGAGTGACCTCAGTGTGTTCACATACTTCTGCGGTATTCGTTTGCGAAGAAGCGAACCCATAAGTGCTTCGCGATTAACTGAGTCGAAGGCTCCTTTTAGGTCACACCTGTTGATCGACAACGTGTGTGGTTTAGCTCGAGGACTTGACACAGAGTTAAGATTTAGTCAATACAACTGCGACCTGATCGAATTCCTGTTTGTTCGCGGATATTGGACCCCCTGAAGGGGGTCAGACGTCAAAATAAGACATGCTAATACTTTGGTTGCGATTGGGATCAAACTTGTTCCACGGTGTTTTGCGCAGCCGTTACGAGATCCTTTTTTGAAAGTGGGAGCGATCAGTGATTTGCTCCAGGATGACCGAATGCGCTCTTGTGACCGGATTTTACGCATTAGATCAGTAATGGATTCTACGAGGTCTTCGCCCCTTTTGAAAAAAAGTGAAAGGAAACCCGTCAGGTCCTGTTGCGTTTACGTTCTTCAGGGCCTGGTTGCAAGATCGCACATCTGGTTCGGTAGGAGGTTTACATGACAATGCCCTCGGAGCCTCAACTACAACGTATGTATGTATTTCAGTTTCAGTTTGTACAACCATTAACCATGCACTTTCGTGCGCCAGTTTTAGCTGCTGTATATTGACTGCCTATTTGAATGAAGCCTTAGGAGAAAGACAGGAAAGTCAAAAGTAGAGTCTAAGAGGAAATGAAGAACTTCAGTGTACTAAGGTTGAAAAGGAACCGAGAGGATACATAAACACCACTGTTTACGAGACTCGGCCATATCACTCTGTGAGTGAACAATTGTTTTCGGATATTCCTAGTCATGCTCTTACATATCATATAGTGAAAAACATTCTTTCATAATGATAGCCATTGGCTCAATTTAAGGTCATTAATCGGATGGAGAGAGTAATGAGTGTATGCGTGTGTGTGTGTGTATGAATGTTTAGCTTGTTAGTTGGTGACCTTTCCCCAATTGTGACACGTCATGTTCTGTCTTGGTTTTCACACCCGACCAAGGCAATTGAAGCGCCTGCACCAGTCGTTTTTGGGCACAGGTTGCGGCCTAGTGAGCGAATGGCAATCTCCTTGGTCATGGCCAGTGTCCAAACTCGGGCCGCCTTCGAT